ACTCCGCAAACTTACTACAGGCAGGATTCCTGCAATTACCAAGCACGGTCTTACATGTGGAGATCATGAGTTCCATTTCATCAAGGTTTGATTGGGTTGTGTCCAGTTGGTTAGATGTGTAACGTCTGCGTGATTCGGTTTGGTTAGAAAGGAACTCCACTGATGCATAAGAACTCTCCTCTTATACTTCAAGGTGCATATGCCAGAGTTGTTTGATATATAAAGCCTTACATCCTGGGGCTCTTAATTTTCTGTCGCATCGTCAGTCGTCATTTGATCATATTCTGAATAGGACATGCACCAAACGCGAATACGATAATGGCAAATATGGTTCTGCACTACGGAAAACGTTAACCTTCCGGGAGAATTAGGAAAAGTTCAAGTGTGGGTGAAATATTCACGAATGTCCAAAAGAACGCATAAATTCTACCTGATGAGCTGCTGTCAAAATTGGGTCTTGGATATTTATAGGCAACAGTTAACATCTGTGGCGCGTCCAATGGGACAGAATCGAAAAGAGAAAAAGAGAGTGAGCTCTCATTTGCTATTGTGGCTTTTACTGTTTGCTTATATAATCACTAGATCATGAACAAATTATCATTCTACTATCCGATGTTCCAGAAACGGGATACAACTAATCTAATAGAATATGCAGTTGAGGATATTTTCATCGTCCTGATGAAACGTTGTTTCGCAAAACGTTCATGACACAATGAAGCTAACTGCAAACATCCATTACGCAAAAGCCAAAACTTGGTTCAAAAATAATAATATTCAAGTGGAACGATTGTGAAAGAACAAGAACTTATTATGCCAGCGTCGCTTACTTCAGTCGGAGTTACTATTCCGGGACACCTGTTGTTATCTTGATCCTTGCATGCGCCGCCCAATCCGCAGACCACCGGTTGGGGGACCTCCCAACCATTGTCTACATAAGGTTGCAAAATTATGTGTAGCGGAGTAACACTGTCAGATAGTAAACTTTGAAGCTCAGTATGCGGGACGTCGATAGCCGAATTTTCATCATCCTGTGATACTAAACTGCAGTTGTCTATCGATTGGGATTTTACTTCAGAAGGCTCACTGGAAACCTCCAAATTATTCGCCCAGCTTCCGGTGACATCTGTAACACGAGAGCGAACAGAAAGTGGAGTGCGACCTTCAGATTCATGTCCGTCGAAACCATTCGACTCGTTTGACTTCTGACAGTCATTACTATGCATAACATGCGTCCAGTTACCGGATGCGCATACTGAAGGCAACTCTGTGATGCCCAGAACGTTGGCATCGTCCTCGTCCACGAAACTTGCGGCCCGACTGCTGCTCGTTGACCGACTGCTCCGAGTGCTGGCACTATCCAATTCTTCTGCTGGACTGCTCTTTGTGGATGGAGTCCATTCATCATCACAAGACTCGGAATCGATGAGCAGGGAGAACCCTTTTATTTGTCGATTGATATTCCCTGGTTGTTCGCAAGCAACTGGATGGGAATCTTGAACATAATCCAATTGAGCAAACCATTTAGGTGCTATATCCGAGTACTTGGTCAAGGTTAATTTGTTTTCTTCAGTCAAATGATTCCAGCCGTGGAGTTCAACCAACTTCCCAGTAGTGTTAATGCCCTGTTGATAAATAGTGATAACAACTGTATTAGACCGGCAATCATGTAGGCTAATGATAAGTTACGGCATGTAAATAAACAGCTAAAAATGGGATGACCTTCACTAAAGTGCGCCGGATTGGTCGCTGGAAGGCGCATTGTAGCGAATATCATCATCATCAGTGGTAAGCGGCTCTTCCGTCGCTCGATTCACTACCACGCCTGATTTATTGAAGCCTTAGGTGGTCCACCACTCCAAGTTTTAGGATCATGGTTGCCGGTTTCCTTCTGACAGCATAAACATGACAGTACGAAATCACGTGCTCACTCTCTCGCTCGCTCTACGCACTGAAAACACTCATCACCCTTACTAACAATCACAATTTCTTCACTTATCTTCTCCTTTCGTCTTTTTTTCACCGAAAAACAAAGCTCCCCTCGTCGGACGACACCTACCTTCAAATACCTAACACTTTTCATTCCTCCCTTTCATCCAAAGCTGATGTCTGTGCCTTTATTCACCAATCAGATGCCGCCAACAAGATCCTTCCAGGACATTGACTTTTCCAATCGTGAATTTCAGCTGACGCGGCTGAAAATTCGATTGCCTCCCACTTTTGTGTACTATATCGTTCCCCCAATAGTGGCGAGTCCTCAGTGTTTGACGTTTGATATTCCGATATTAGAAACTTGTTCGCAACCGACCCCAACTGCCATGTTCCAATCTTGGGAGACATCTCAAGTGCCTTCGACCGAGTTTGGCACGCAGGTCTACTGGCGAAACTACCCATGTTCAGGTTCCCTCTGAAGCTCATAGAGTGGCTATCAAATTTCCTCAGTGGGCGAACCATCCCCATCTAAGTTGATGGGGTTCGAGGTCAGCCGAGTCCTGTGAATGCTGGTGTTCCCCAAGTTTCA